TGTGTGAGTGTGTGTGTGTGTGCTCACGTTTGAATGGGCCGTCTGCTGCAGACAGCCCCGGCGCTCCAGGTTTCTCTATCCTGTAAATCTCATCCAGAAACTGCAGCTTACAGTCACCAATCACATCACCTGGTCCTCTGAAACAACCAATCACAGCACCAGCTCACAGTGACATCACACGGCCGAACGAATCAGAATCGCAGAGGAATGATTAATGAATCACTAGGAACCTCTGAAATCTGTTTTATATTTCCATTTGTCTGGATTCCATTGTAATGGTTATTACATTAAATTTCAATAATCAAAATAACACCTAATCAATTGAATAATTTATTAAAAATGTATAAATAATAGGACCTTATGACAGCTTTTAAATTTTTTTTCTATTTTATAAATAATCAAATTAAAGCATAAAACAAACAATTTTTAACATTAATACATTGATTTAAATATAAATGTAAATATTTATATATTAATAATAATTAATTAATCAATTATTATTTTAAGACAAATACAAAAACACAATGTTTTTTACATTAAAACATTTATTTAAATTATATTTTAAATATTTATATATTAATAATTAATTAATTAATTGTTATTTTAAGGAAAATACAAAAAAACACACAAAACCAGTTATTTTAGTATCACTGTTACAGTTTTTATTAATATTTTGCATTAGTTTTTACTTTTATATTTTCCATTTTCATTTTAGTTAAAGTTTTAGTAATTTCACTGTGTTTGTCATTTTTATTATTTTTTTTATATTATTTGTCTATATAATATGTATTCATTTTTATTTAAGATCTAGTTGTAGTTGTTTTAGTACATCAAGTTAAACTAAATGAAAATGAGAAACGTTTCTTTGGCAACTAGCTGAAATAAAATAAGTTCAAGTTTTTATTTATTTTATTTCAGTTAAGGTTTATTTTATTTCAAGTAAGGAAAATGTTTCAGGTTATAGTTTTAGTTTAGTTAACTATTATAAGCCTGTTCACAACAAAACAGTGCATTTTTTTAGCAGCACAACAGAGGTTTAACGTATACATTTAAAAATGGACAAAAAAAATCTCTTGATTATGTGAGATTCATTAAAAATAATGTTTTAATAAATTGCATTAATGTTATAAACAGTGCATTTTTTTAGCAGCACAACAGAGGTTTAACGTATACATTTAAAAATGGACAAAAAAAATCTCTTGATTGTGTGAGATTCATTAAAAATAATGTTTTAATAAATTGCATTAATGTTATAAATTATTAGATTATTATTAATATTACTACTACTAGTACTTTCAGAAGTATAATGTACATTTTTTAATAGTTATATATATATATGTCATCATTTATGTACTTATATAATATAAATATTTTTATACAGTGCCGTTCAAAAGTTTGGGATCAGTAAGACTTGTAATGTTTTTTAAAGAAGTCTCTTCTGCTCATCAAGGCTGCATTTATTTGATCAAAAATACAGAAAAAAACAGTAAAGAATGATTTCTGAAGATCATGTGACACTGAAGATGCTGAAAATTCAGCTGCAGATCACAGAAATAAATTAGATTTTAATGTATATTTAAATAGAAAAACGTTATTTTACATCATAATACTATTTCACAATATTACATTTTTTCTTGTATTTTTGATCAAATAAACGCAGCCTTGATGAGCAGAAGACACTCCTGTAAAAACATTACAAATCGTTCTGATCCCAAACTTTTGAACAGTAGTGTATATATATAACATAAAACATATAATGTACATATTTCTAGTTATTTTGGCGGTTAGCCGTGATTGTTTACCCCAGCAGAATCCTGACGCGGATCTCTTTGTTGGTGCGTGAGACGGCGTTGAGGGCCGTGATCTTGGCGTCGTACCAGAAGCCTCGCTCCTCGGGATTCTCCAGGTTATAGTTAACCATCACCAGGTCACCCACCTGCAGCTGGTCGAAGCTCAGCAGAGTCCTGGCCCTCGGACGAACGTCACCCGCGCTCATCTCCACCACGCCGTTCTCCGGATAACTGCAGACAGCAGAAACAAACACCACCGTCATCAGCTACAGACTCAAGAATGAACGAGTGACTGACGATAAACGGCTGGCAGCAACACCACGCCACCAACAACAACTGCAATAATGACTGTTTCCAAACAGGTTTTTTCTATGTTGGGAGACAGAATAAAAATATGATGTCAGTTCACATGTCAGTATGTTTTTAACATTTAAATAAATAAACAATATTATTATTTAAACATGTTTTATTTAAGACAGTTTCATGTTGTTTTTTTTTATTATATATATATAAACAATAGTTGTGGGGACAAAATAAACCATTTTTTTTTTTAGTTTAAAAAATTAAACACATTTATTTATTTATTTATTTATATACTAAAAACCTTAAAATAATTTTAAGTACCGTAGAAATACATATACAACCCCTGCTCTAAATGAATCCAGAGATGCCCAATCAGCATCACCCTTCAGCTCGGTTTCCCAGCATGCAGTGCAGCAGAGAGCGCTTTGCTCTCGGAATCGATACACTTACCAAATTCAGAACGCATCCCATCATGCACCTCCTCACAGCAATAAACAAGAAGCTCACACTGGCTGCCGTTTGGTAGGACTCCAATGAGAACCAGACAAGCAGGGAAAAACAAAGAGACTTCCTTCCCATGATGCACTTACTCTTCATATTTAATGTGGTAGGAGACGTGCGCTGGATCCGTTTTGGACGTTGACGGTTCGCTGCCGTCTGAGTTTAGCGCTGTGCTGGATGATGATGATGAAGGGGCGGCGCTCGTCTCCGGCTCCAGCTTGTTGTTAGTGCGTTTGCTGGGCCGGCCGACCCTAGCTCTGCTGTTCTGTGCTTTAGATGCAGGAGAGACCTTCTCAATCACGCCTTCGAACCAGGCGCCGATGCTGACGTCCCTGCAGTCCACTAACTCATTCACCTGAACAACACAGAGCGAACACCATCACTGCTACAGCTCACCATTATGAGATTAACGGTCACCTACACTGCAGGAATAACACACTTACACATTATTTGTGACCCTGGAGCACAAAACCAGTCATAAGGGTCAATTTTGTGAAATTGAGATTTATGCATCATCTGAAAGCTGAATAAATAAGCTTTCCATTGATGTATGGTTTGTTAGGATAGGACAATACTTGAAAATCTGGAATCTGAGGGTGCAAAAAAATCTAAATATTGAGAAAATCATCTTTAAAGTTGTCCAAATTAAGTTCTTAGCAATGCATATTACTAACCAAAAATTAAGTTTTGATATATTTACGGTAGGAAATGTACAAAATATCTTCATGGAACATGATCTTTACTTAATATCCTAATGATTTTTGGCATTAAAGGAAAATCTATAATTTTGACCCATACAATGTATTGTTGGCTATTGCTACAAATATACCCCAGCGACTTAAGGCTGCTTTTGTGCTCCAGCGTCTGAATTTGGTAACAAATATAATGCATCACTTCCTTCATAAACAAAATGACATGAATAATAATAATAATAACCATCATAATAAATACGAAAACAATTAAATAAGGAAAATAATATTTTAAATAATAATAATTATTATTATTATACAATTCTATTGTTATTAACAATAATAATAATTATTATCACTAGTATTATTATTCCAAATGTTAGAATTCACACTTTGGTTTTGGTAAATTCTAAATATTAAAAAATAATAAAAAGATGAAATTTGTTATTGTTATTATTAATGCATATAATGTTTCATAGCACGCAGCAATGTGTTAATTTAAAGGCAATTAATTAATTTTAAATTACATTAATAAAAAAAACAATGTAATAAAAATAAAAAATAAATATTAAGATAAAAATTAAAATATTTTTTAGATTATTATTATTATTATTGTCATTAATTATAATAATAATACATTATAATGCATGACTAAATAATAATAATAATAATTCCATATGTTAGAATTCATGCTTTGGTTTTGCTACCCGACTCATCTAAATATTAAATGATAATAAAGAGATTACATTTATTATTGTTATTATTAATGCATATAATATTTCATGGCACGTAGCAATTTAATGTGTTAATTTAAATGCAATTAATTAATTTTAAATTACATTAATAAAAAACAATGTAATAAAAATAAAAATTAATATAAAAACTAAAATTATATTTTAGATTATTATTATTGTCATTAATTATAATAATAATAATAATTTCATATGTTAGAATTCATGCTTTGGTTTTGCTACCTGACTAATCGAAATATTAAATTATATTACAGCGATCAAACATATTATTGTCATTATTAATGCATATAAAATTATTTTGTAGCACGTTCAATTTAATGTGTTAATTTAGTACAATTAATCAATGCTAAATTAAATTAATAAAATAATAAATAAATATTTAAAAAACAAAATTAAATTTAAAATATAAAAAAAAATAATAATAAAATTAAAATTAAAACATTGTAATTATTAAAATAATATTTTATATTATTTTAGAATTAATACAAAAACAATGTGAAGGAAAAAAAACTCAATAATTCACCATAAGCTGTATGTAAATTTTGTAATAAGTAATTTTCCTACCATCTAAGGAGTAACAAGTAAAGAGTCAATGACGACAGACTCCACAATAATTTCTTATATGATATGATAGTTATATGATGAACTATAAGTCACATCCAGAGCAAGCTCTTACTTTGAAGAGTCCGATCCCGGGATCGATGAGGAGCGTCCGGCTGGATGTGGACGGCTCGCTGTCAGACACCGGACTACAGGGTTTGGACCCGTTTCCGTTGCTGTTGGCGATGGTTGCCGGGGAAACGACTGTTGTGGTGGGTGTGGCTGAGGCGGGGACAGATGCTGTGGTGGGCGGGGCTACGGCACAGGCCACACCCTCACCGTTGTTCAGGGAGGGGCTATCCGGGGGGTCCGTCTGTGAGCGGATGAGAAGCTGGACGATGTCGTTAAGACCAACGTTGTAATCGAAGA